GCTGAGCAGTGCACTCGCCCTTTGGTCGATAGCCGGATATCACGTCTACGCCAGACACGGCGTAAACTGGCATATGAGAAACTAGTGTATGTGTGTTCTAAGTCTTGCTCCACCTTCTTCACTTTCGATAATTGGATCATGTTAGAGACGCTTATGCTTATAGAATAGCTCACCATATAGCACAATAAACAAAAAACTCTGTACTTGATAACTAATTGGCATAATTGTTATTATTATTATCAACATCATTGTTACTGTTTTCTTAACGGAGTGTACTAACTAACGCTCAAATAGTCAAAAGAGTTTATCATATTCCGCTTATTTATTTACTTATTCCATTTCTTATTTACCGAGTGTCTAAAAGGAGGCTTCAACCTTTGATAGGCCAATAGAACTGGTGTTTTTTTCTACAAGGAAGGGTTGTCAGTCTCTCCCTCTTCTTCAGATAAACTGCCAGGAAGTTGAGGTTTAGGAGTGCGGAAACCGAGAGTCGAACATAAAAGAACGAACAATCAGAAATAATAAAAGTCTTTGTGAGAGAAGAAGGTGACGTTGGCGAAGTAACTCATAGTAAACTAACGTCGGTTAGAGGACCACTGGAAAACCTAGGAGTACTGAGCATTTATTTCGTCCTACTTTGAAACTCTTTATCTATACGAGCACTGGACCCTTCCGGTTACGAGACAAGTTGGTAGACCATTAAGCTACTGAGACCCAATCCACTGGCCAACCCATGAATTCCAACTTCTGTCAATTCATGATATGCCGCGACCACTAGCCACTGTCACCACCGGCAAATATATGTCCTCACACTCAACCTGTTGTAACCTACCGGTCACGACTTCTCACTAGAACTCAGGAGGTGACTACCTGCCTGAATAGGGCCAGTCGTTTGGTTGGAACCCATGTGGGTGCGTACTGCGAAGAGTCCCAAACTGGGGCATAACAGCTGTCCAGTACTCCCTGCAAGTTTTCCAATGGTTCTTTGACCGATGTCAGTTCATGATGAAATCTTGAAAACAATCACATCTCTGTCAACCAACACTTGACTCTTCCTAGTTAAGGGTCAGTTTCCATGTTCCAGATAGCAGTAGCTGAAATAATATAAAGTATGCAGGTTTATTTTGTTGCTGCGTTTATTTGACAAAATAAACATAAATGAGTTTGAATGATGATATTGACAAATTATCCAGTTACTGTTCTTTTTATATAGTTATTGCCATATCTTAGCCACTGTGGAGTTTTAGTTTTAGTTGTATGTATGTCGAATAGCTGATATAGCATTTATGCACACGCGTAGATAAATACAAAATCTTATCTTTGAGACTGATAGATTCTTCTTCAAAAAATGCACGCTTAAGTGAGTCACAAGTTGTTACTTTGAAAATGTTGGAAGTTAGATCGCTTCTGAAACCGTGTTTTATTTGCGCCAAAGAAGTTGGGTCTATGCCCCTGAAGCTTTATCTGTTGATTAGTGTAATTACACATTTTTGACTAGAGCTTTTTCTCATCTTTTTTGCCATTCCTTGCGTTCCAAGTGGAATATAGGACTTCAAATTTCATAAAGTTTCAGTATTTTATTTTAATTGGATTTTAGATTTTCCCGTTGACTGATTGGACCGAAGTGCTTGGTCTCAGGTTGACATGTCGGCTTCTTGTGCAGATGCTTCGAAGATGTCTGGGCATTTAATTAGAATTTAATTGGTGGATGGTGACTAGCAGTGGAATCCAGCTTGTTGCGCATTTCTCTCAAGTGGTCTAGTGAATAACCCTTGGGCATTTGAAACTATAAGCACCGGGTTTGAGCCTCGGTGGGAACATCATCACTCACTGGGGAATGCAGGTACATCCAGCTAGTTGACGAGTCCTAAATAGGACGAGGTGCCCATCCTGGATTCCACTGCTAGTGACCATCCACCAATTAAATTCTAATCGTTGGCATTACTTTTACTAGGTGCAGTCACTAGCGTCACACCAAACATTCCCTCTTTTTTTGGGTTTACTTACGGCCAATAAACTGCATGATGCTGAGGGGAGAGTCTATTTTAGCCCTAAAAAGCACGTGCATGACTGTCGAGTATTCTGTCGCCGAACCGCCAAACTTTTATTAGATATCAACATCTAGGGCATCAAAGATGCAAATGAATGGAATTACCACAGCTGTGAACAAGACCTTTTTTGTTCCAGTCTTTGATACCTAACTATAAAAGGCTTATTTTAACCTATCACACTAACTAAATATCCTGTAAGCTGATTGGTCGAAATATCTGAATAATCCTTGTTTATTTCACTCCTTTTGAAAAAAAAACTAAAGGAGTTTGAGAGAGAAGTTTATCGTCTTTTGGTAACTTGTAAAAGTTATTCTTACTAGATTTAAATAATTTGTATTTGTATGATTTACAAAAAGTTTCTTACAGTTAAAAAGTTATTCACTTGTTTAAACTTGTCTTTAGTCAATAATATATTGGTGTTGATAAATTCATTTCAGGCAATCTCATGGAAAGAAATTCTAGTTTTATTTTTGTTGATTACACTATTTTACTTCTAAACTGTAATACTGACATACTGATCAATAAATAAATTTATATCATAGCCAATAAATTTATATTACATCATACAACGTCACTGATTGTTGACTGAGTTGTTTTCATTTAATGTATGGACCCTTGTGTAGAAATGATCAGCTAATAGAATAATCTTATTTCATTCGTATATATGTGAAACTTGGGCACTGTGGTAGTAAGTAATTCTGTATTAGTCTGTTTATTAGATGTTTCACACAGGGGAACAGTATTATTATTTACTGGATGACATCGTTTCGAACAAAATTTATTGTGGTTCATAATCGTTTCATCAATTATAATCATACGACTTCGAAACTTGAGTTTTATAGTTTTCTTTGTTCTCTTCTATTTGTCGTTGTTGGGGTAGTAGAATTTTCCAGATATCTTGGTGGACAGATGTTGAATCATTCCTATTACACGTGTTGATTCCTAGTTGATTTGACAGGTAAAGCTTCCGTTATCAATCTCTCCCTCCACCCTGTGATATCAGATTTTAAAACCGTCATCTTATCCCATCCTATTGAATGGTTGTGTGTGATTGTATGCAGTGCTATAGCTGAACTATTCGCTAGATTTCTTATTCTTATTCGGGTGAACTAATCTAGATTTTGCTAGGTTTTTATGCTCGGCTAGTCTGACTGCCCATGTTCTACTACTTTGACCTATGTAGACCTGACAGTCATCTCAGGCAGGGTATTAGGTAAATTAAACTGTTTTGTTTTAAAGGCTCCACAGGATTGATCGTTTAATTGACAAAGCGTGTTTCTAACTGAGTTTGTGGGTAGTTTGAATCACAGCCACTTTTATTCCTGCCTTTTTAAGAATTCTGCCTAAGTTGGTTTCCGAGGTTCCTTCCTTGTATGAAATACTACTGATGATTTAGACTCCCTGTTGTTGGTGTTGTCATTATCCTGTGCACGTTTGTCATGCATTTGGTCACTATTATTATTATAACCATTATGATTAATTCTATTTTTACATTTTCCTACATACTTCCTGATTAAATAATCAGAGTAATTGTTAAATTTCAAAGCTTCCCTTATATGCCTCACTTCTCGTCTTACATTTTCCTTGCTACTACTTAGTTTTTGTGCTCTATTTCTTAAACATTTCATCAATCCTATTTTCACTGACATAGGATGGGATGATCGGGAGTTCAAATATCTGTGAATGCGTGGGTTTCCTGTAAACACTAGTGTGTTTAACTTCCCATCTGCTTTCCTTTTTATGCTACATTCGTATTATACCAAATTATGAGTGAGTTGGTAGTTCAATAGTAGGATGCTCTTCGACTACACCTATGTTGGGTGGTCCAGAGTTCAGTTCATGGCTCATACACTTCTAAGTATCACTTAGTTTACTAGCCAGTGATAGAAGGGCTCGAAAAAATGGATGGTTTCAACATCCATTGAATAATTGTGACAAACATCCTGCTGGAATTTCAAAGCCGAAAGCTTGAATACCTATGCTTCAGTCAAAACACAAAGAGATGAAATAAGAATATATATGTAACGACAGAAGACAAGGGCCAGGAAACAGATCTTTTATTAAGGAAAGTAACACGTATTGATATATTTTCTTGTAGATTATTATTAAAGCTTATTCAAGCAAACAAACACAGCCTTCTGATTGGTTGTTTCTCACAGGAAGTTAACCTTGCATCTCTTTTTGTCTGCTTCGTGAATGTCAGATCATCTATATGCTAACTGTATCCGCCTACGCAAAGTGTGCTGTGGTTGTTTATTGAATCAGTCTTTGTTCATATTTTCTCATGACCGATATTTGGGACACAAACATTGATGTAAATTAATGTCTACCAATTTGGCTAGCAGCCTGCTGTCACCGTATATATATATATATATATATGAACTTTAACTAGAAAGAGTGTAGAAAGTAATGGGTTACGCAACCACAGAAAGACGTGTCTTTATAAAACAGACGAAAGGTGTGTGTGTGGGGGGGTAGGATGAGTCATATTTAGCCGAAAAAAACTCAAGTTTTCTAAATAGGACAGAAGATGATGTAGTGAACTTTTTGCGCTTTGTTATCATCAAGTCAGTGCAAAATTCACCACTGTCTTTTTCTGCAAAACAAAGATTCGGTTGTGGCCATTTGATGGAGATCGTCTCAGCAAAACGAAGCAGGCTAGATTTCTTCTCTCTGTTGATTCGTTTTAACATCTTTTGGTTGTCCACAACATGGCCAGTGTCTAGGAGATGGCGTGTAATCGCACTGTTTAATACTTGTGGGCCCTTTAATCTCAGGTTCTTTGATATGTATTCAGTGATTAAGGGCCCACAAGCATTAAACAGTGCGATTACACGCCATCCACTAGACACTGGCCATTTTGTGGGCAACCTGAAGTTCTTGCTTTATTCAAATTTATTTTGATCTCTTCATTCACACTTTTCTTTATTGTTATTATTATTTTATTAGCATCAGTTGAAGCTGTCCTCTTTTACGGTCTTCGTCGAAGTATATTCACATGGATTGAAGAAGAGACAACATTTGTATTATGTCAAAAAATAGCAAAATTATGTCCTGAAGCCCAGCAGACACTAGATCGCCTAGATTATTATAAACAGTCTATTTTAAAACGACGTAATGATCATCGGTCGAGAAGAAATATATCACCTATTCGAATAAAAAGTACATCATCAAATTCATTGACATCAAGTGAAAAATCAACATCACCATCAGTGAATTTTACATTTTGGTCGAATGATAATAATAATAATAACAGCAATAATAGCAGTCATAATCATAATATTAGTAATTACAATAACAATACACTGATTAATGGGTAAGTTTGCCAGTATATTATTATAACCATAATCTATATATATATATTTAATGAAAACCAACCACGTAGTTCGGCGAAGAGTCTCTTTTCGACGAATTCATTTTCTTAGCTGTACAAATACATATATAGCAAAACATATATAGGTTTGACGATATTAGATGGTTTGAGGTAAACAGCAGGAGGCCTTGAACTTAGGTTTCGTGCTAGTTGGCACTCGCTAGTCAGCAAGGCATATCTGCAGCCTTGAAGCAATTCAATCGCGACTCCGAATAGCTCAATGGTAACTTCTCTAACTGCAGCCTAACTGGGTGACACGGGTTCGAATCTCAGAAAGGACATAAGTTCCTTCAAGGTTGCAGATATGCCTTGCTGACTGGTGAGTGTCAAATGGCACGAAACCTAGGTGCAAGGCTTCCTGAGGCCGATTGCCTCCAACTATCTAATATCATCAAATCAATGTGCACCGTGATGGTGAGCTACCTAGAATGGTGGCTACATTACAAACCAGACTGATAGAATTCAGTCTGTGCCAAAGAAAGGACTAGACACATTGCGCTAGTTACTAGTGTCCAGTCAAAACATTTATAGGTTATTTTGTATGTGTATGTATGTATGTATGTATGTATGTCAAGTAAATTGAGTGTTAGTGAAACTAGGGTAGTAACAAAGATGATGAGTTGTCACAAAAAACTGTTTAAAGGAAGTTACGTAATAATATAAATAGTTTAATGATTGAGTTGTACTCAGGATATACATAGAAACAAAATAGAGAATACGGAATTACGTAAGAGTTCTGAATGAATACAAGAATTATAAGCAATTGGAGAAACAAGCAAACAAATAAAACTAAGTCATCAAAAATCAACAAAGTTGTTGCTATGATAGTAGAAGTTGTTGAGTAATTCTCTCTTCTGCATGCAAAGCTTCGGTTTTACTATGTGAATTTTGAGAGCTCTAGCAATACCAAGAAGACGAAGCCATATTGCCTTTGGTAGGTTATTATTGACTCTGTAGACTACTATGAAGGAGGAGGCGTTTGTTGAGATGGAATGACCAGGTGTTCAATGATCGCACTCCTTATTGCACCCGTATTGCGTTTTCGCAACCATACTGGATAGTGTTCTTGAATCCTCTTGGACAGGGTGCGCGTCGAACGACTGATGCACCTGGCTCCACAGTAGCAGGCGAACTGATATATGCAAGCACTAGTGGTTAGATGCGGTTATTTTTCTTTAGTTTCTTTAAATTTTTATTTTCAACGGTTCAAGAGTTTTTTCCGAAAACAATGATTCATGAACAGAGGATATTTTCATGTCTACAACTTCTTCTTCAGGTTTCATCTCTGTATATCTACATTTCTTTTCCATTCCTTTGCTTTTATAATGGAACATAGGTCTTAGGGCGTGAGCTTTGAAGTTTACGTAGCAGTGATGTCTTTTTCCGAGGTGCGACTGTTAACCAAACACCTAACCTTCCTTCTTCTCCAGGAATACTACGGGCTAGGTAAGGTTTAGGAGTACATTGGCAAGAAATCGAACCCTAGACTACATGCTTAGTCGATGAGCATGAAGGTATCACTTTAAAGGTAGAGAAGTGATGGAAATTCATCAAAAAGAAAGAACCATCATGCCCAAAAATGTACAGAAGAGTGGATTCCATTGTTGTTAGAGTTCAAAATAAGTGGATGTATCTTTAGTACTGAGAACAATTTTAAGCTATATTATCAGAAATCTCGAGATGTTGCGTTTTACCATCTTGACAACAACAGCTAGGAAATCTGTATCACACTCTACATGGCTGAAACCAATAAACAAAGACTTTATAAATTGATGAACGCGTCGGTGGCACAGCGGTTAGGACGCTCGCCGACCATGCACATGGGCCGAGGGTCGATCCCTGGCCACCTTTACCTCGCTGGTGAAGAGGGAAGGTTAGGCATGAGGCTAGCAACCCCATCCTGTAAAAATAAACACTCCTACATAATCTTCAAGCCACTAGCTTGAAGCCCTATGTTCCACTGGGAACGAGAAGGAGGAAAAATTATAAATTGATGCCATGTTTTAGTTTGACCACTTATACCTCTTTTCTAACTTAATTCTTTGTCGGATAACATTATTCAACTAGGGAAACAATGACAAAATCTGCGTAAGATGTGTCTGAGGCATCTCTCAGTCAATTAAACGTCATAACCTCATTGATTTGATTTCCAGCCTTACTCACCTGCATATTACTCTGCATATTATTATTACCTCTTAGCGCGGCAGAAAAAACTCAAATACCGACATTTAAAACAAAAAACACAACTGTTGCTTCTTATTAACTTTCTTTTTCCAAAGGCATGTCTCAAAGACACAAAGCCGTTTTTATTGACACATTGTTTTTTCTATAACTGGATTCCATATCTACGCTAGAAATAAATGAAATCGGCAAATACCACATGAGTTCTTTGTTTCTAACTATAATTAAACAGTTTACTCAGATACATCACACACTTTTGGATCTTTGATCTTAATGTTGTTGATAATAAATGCTTCTTAACTCACATAGATAAATAAATTAATAACATTTCAAATAACTGAAGTTATTTAGAAAGAATAGACTGACTTTGTCTACTCACTATCACATGTGTATATAGTGGTTATAAAGTTGATAACTTTTGTTGTGAAAATTAAGACTAGTAATGATAAACTGATTGAGTCAGATTATTTTTCTTGGAATCTTTTTTTTCTTTTTTATAAAAATGTCATATGAAACATTGATATACTGATTTTAATATTTCACATATCAATGGCTTAGGTAACTAGATAGCACCATTAGCTATTATAGATGAATTAGTGCATGATCTATAAATCCGTGTGCATTTTGGTTAGCTTGCATGCCTTGAGATTCAAAGGTATTCAAAACTGCAAGTCTGTTTTATGTAAAAAGATCAATTAGTCATATTTTGAAGGCAAGGTAATTGAATCTTTTCGATGTACTGCTTGCTGATGAAATTTCAGTAATGATTCCAAAGATTGGTGCAGCATTTAGTAGCCTCATGGATGCAAGACATAATGGTTGAAAGTGGAAGATTTGAAGAGCCTAGCCATCTTTGACTGTCTGTCTGTCTGTTTTCGACATAGAACTTTGCACATATGTGCAGCAGTTCAAGTCGCCACACTCCATGTAGCACACAAACCAACAGAAGAAAATAGAGGAAATGCATAATAGAGACAGTAAACAGAGGTGTGAGACGAAGGATTAGTAATAACGAAGAACAATATAGTTCCATTGGAAATCATAAGTCACAAGGAGTGGATGCATCTGCGCCATTGACAACGATTTTGAGCCATGTCACCAATAGTTTCCAACCTTCATTGGTTGGTTTTTACCGTCCAGAGGACCCCAACCAGTCAGGAAGTCTACAGCTTCATACGTGGCTTAAACTAACTGTTGTGGATTTCACTGACTGGTGCCATGTTTTGATCTGACCACCGCTGGCTCTTTTCCAGCGTGACCCTATGTCAGCCAGCTAACATTGTCCATCGAGGAAGGCGATGACTACAGGTGAATGCGTCTGTTTTCTTATGTTTGGTGGTATAATATGGTGAGTAATAATGAAGTTAGTTGTAGTGTTAGGTAAACAGAAAATCACTCAGTAAGGTTGTAAAGTTACATCGATTGCAATGTATTTTGAGTAATGTCTTCGCCTTCCATATCAAGTAATGTTAGCTTATATAGGATAAACTGGAAAAACCAGAACCACGGAATCAACCCATGAAGTCTTTAACTATTGGTGTGCACAGCTGGGTGAGATGTAGTGCCATATCACCGGAACAGTCTTTAGCTTCAGATAAGCAGTATTTGACATCGCCCGAATTCATTTGCCACGATCTGTTTGCATTTCTTCATGTTCAAAGTTTTACGCTGGAGGAAATCACATCATTTACAACAAAAACTATAGTTCTCACGACTAGATTTGAGTGATAGTTATTCATAATGATGATAATTTATAGTGAATATATAGCATTAGGTACTCCATGTCTAACCAAATAGATCGTAGGTTTATATGGCGTTTTAACTATATAATATAGAGACAGCATCAAAAAGCCTCATACAACATTCGGCGTGGATTATTGTCAGTCTTTAATAAAATGCATGTTACTTTTGAGTTACTTACAAACAAATAAGCTTACACTAACGCTGACTGGATAGTGTTGTTTCGACAGAATTATAATTTCGACGGCTTTTCTCTCTCGTACATAGTGGATATCAACTTAACTTTCAGTATGAACATTTATTTCTCTGCTACATAAAAGAGAGAGAAAGAAAACAATACTCAACCAGATAACCAGTAATCTCTGGCAAATATCAATGCACAGTAAAATTAGCTTTTGTAACCTAAGCTAATTTTTGAGTGGTTGTTGCTATTTATTCTGCTGGAGTTTCTCTTACATAACTTTGGCGTTTGTATAGTCTTCTATTACGCATGATATATTTCTTATAACTAAGATGTTATGATAGAATTTACTATTGAAGTGTTTTGTTGTAACAGTTTGCTTGATAAGTAGAAAATTTAACTATGTTCTTCCATCTCTTGCATTGTCAGTGGGACATACGGCTTCAGGCAAGCCTACAGGAATGGACTACATTGACTCCTAGCTTAGAGATAGGGAGTGAAGTGGTAAAACACGTTGACCGCTTCACTTGTTTGGGAAGTTGCATTAGCCCTGACGGGTTGATCTCTGACGAGTTTTCAGCACGAATACAGAGGGATAGTTTCGCATATGCCAGTTTACGCCATCTCTGGCGTAGACGTGATATCCGGCTATCAACCAAAGAGCGGGTGTACTGCTCAGCAGTCTGCCCCGTCCTCCCTTATGACTATGAGTGAGAACTGGCCAATGAGAGCGGAATATATGAAATGACTGCTTGTCTTTGATCACAAGTGCTTGCGTTCTATCTTGCGTGTGAAGTAGTATAATAGGGTGAGCAATATTTATGTTAGGTATCGGTCGAGT